AGGGATTACTTGGCGTGGAATAGTTAGAAACAGAAAAGGTTGCCAAGGGGTGAGAACAAAAGAAGAGTAACAGGGAGGACAGTAGATAGCGATTGATATTGCATTTAGATGTTTGCAGATTAAAGTTGGCTGGAAAGCATGTAACCGGAAGGGAGTTTCACAAGCGAGAAGTACGAGAAAATCAACTGTTGACATTGAATTTACGGTTACAACTGTAAACTGATGATATCTCGTCGTCAAACAAGTACTGAGCTTTAAATTTTTTTTAAAAGTCTACACACCAGAGTTAAGAGCTCATCCGAACAATTACCACGAAAATATATATACAAAAGGCACATCGAGAGAACCTGACGTCGATTCAGCATAATCACTAATTCATCGGAATGAGTGATTTCTTGGAGGTTAGCATCAGCCATGGTGATGGAAGGAAAAAAGTGTTCTCCCTGACGATTAAAAGAGAGCATTTTCGTTTTGGAGACGTAAAAATCGATAAGCCATTCCTTACCCGAGTTAATAACTAATTGGACTTCATTTTTGAAAGCAGCTGCCATTTCCTCTTATCGGATTTACTATTAAGACATAAATAGCTGTACCATCAGCATAAATATCTAGTTGAGAACAGTTGAGATCCGGATGATCGTTGATGAAGATAATAAACAATGAAGGTCAAAGGAAAGAGCCCTTGAGGTAACCCCTATAAACAAGAAAGGATTTTTTTTTTTATAGATTCAAACTAGCATTTATATCAATATTTAAACTGACACCAGAGTTAATCTGCCTCCAAAAACACGATCATCAGATTTTGTGTACGAACAATTACCATCGAAAATATTTTTTGTCATGATTCTTCCGGAAGAACCAAAATTGGCAATAATAACTCCAAAAATATGCGCCTAGTTTGCACCTTCATCCGAATGACGTTTGGTGAAGTGTCGATTCATCATAGCAAATTTGAAAATATACACGATGGATTTACGTAGGAATGAAAATAAACCGGACCAGATATATTAACAAATGACACAAAAATAACTTTACTAAAGTGGAAAATATTCAATAAAAACGCGATCAATCATCGCCATGAATGACCGACGCCTGGAAGGCCATAATCCTTTCCTTCATTTCAGGAATTTTGTCGGTTTCTCACTCAACTGCGCCAGGCACGTAATAATCAAGGGGTTGCAGTCTGGGGAGTTAGGTGGCCAATGTAAGGGGTGAGATGGTTGTAGTGATGGTTGCAGAAATGACTGTGTTCTTCTGCTTGTGTAGCATATATATATATATATATAACACAAACACATTATATATAATATTTCACATAATAATTCATTGACCTCAACAGAATAAAAATGACAGGCCTTTCATCCTTTTTTGGGACTCATCAGCAGTGCGCATTCACTACTGAGAATCGATCCCGGACCGTCACGATACCAATCGTCTTATCAACAATTTCAGTAAAAAGAATTTGATTTTTTCAGATCTTCAGAATAATTATTTATTGTTGTGGACTTTAAATTCGGCTCATGATTAAAGACAAGAAGGAAATGTATTTGCACAATAATATAATACTGTGGAATGTGTATAGTGTGTGTGTGTTGTGACTTTCACAGTTACCAATATATTGTTATCCAACTATATATATATATATACTGATGCATTTAACGCCAGCAGTATATATAGTATATGAAAAAGGGTGGACCCCATAATACATATGCTTGATTCAGCTTAATGCCTGGATGGAGAGGTTTAAGAAAGAAGATGTTGTTCTGGATTCATTTCCGATAGGTTATGCATACATAATATCACCAATTGTGCATATTGAGTCACACACCCTGGCCCAGTGATATGACGCTGCACTCGGTAATGGATATGAAAATAATCCCCTCGCCCCCCCAAAAAAAAAAAAGAGCGTCTAGTGCTTTCGCATTCTGTTGAGGATTCTTCTTCACTAGATGAAATATTATGAAATTTATAAATTTTCAATATATATATATATATATATATATATATATATATATCCAAGTATATAATTGGTATATACGGAACAAATTCAATATAACAATTACTATTCTTAAAAGAGTGCTCTACATACTAGCATGTTATGTTATAAAGCCATTTTGTTTCAACACATTTGTCTTATCACAAATAAAAGTGGCTATTTTTGTACACATACTTATGTTATATTTTTTTTTACATATATATATATTTATGTTCAATAATATGAATGTCCGTGAATAATCCATTAAACTATGAATCGATACGTTGAACACGATCGCATTTGTAGCGATTTTAACATGTTTTTGTTTTAATAACCTATTTATATACCTTGTATTGAGCGCTCTTAAATGAAATTTACAGACGTTGTACTACTGCATTCCATTGGAAAATATTATAAAATATATATATATATATATATATATACTATGTAAAAAGTCTGAAAAAATCCATGCAAATCTATCAGATATTCTTCAGACCAAAAAAGATGAAAAAATTATCCAGGAACACACGATAAAATACAAAAATTTTAAATTAATTCTATTGAAAACTGTTTAGTCTGGAAGTTATCTAAATAAACTAACTGGATTTTTCTGCTTTCATCATTATTATATTTGCTATGTTCTTATATTGAGCTCCCTCTGATTTTTCATTTTCCTACCAATTATGAAATAATATTATATATATATATATATATATATATATATATATATATATATATATATATATATATATATATATATATATATATATATACCACACACAGACACACACAGCGTGTTTATTTTTCGCAATATTTTAACATGTATTTAATTTATAACTTATCAAAATAATAAACTTAATATTTCTTAAAAAGTAAAAACAGATAAAAGCCCCCAAAATATATAATAATATATATATATATATATATATATATATATATATATATATATATATATATATATATAATCGTCTCAATATACGTTTATATGATTTAAATATTACAAATATATACACATAGTTGTACGGCATTCTTTTTTATATATATTTATTCCCTTCTTTGCAGGATGTAGTTTGATATATATTATTTTCCAATTTTTATATGTTTAGTCATTATGTAGTTTGATTTTCCCCGTTTTTTCTCGCTGGTTTATTCTACATATATATATGCACAAGTATGTAGTTTTTGAAGGAAGTGTATATATCTTTCTAAGACGACAACTGAAAAACATTTGTTTGTTGGGAATAGTAAAGAACACCAAATAAAGAGAAACCCTAAATACTAAGTTATCTTAACAAAAACAATGAGAAAAAAAAATACTTCTTAAAAAAAAAACCCCCCAAAAACACAAATAAAACCATGATAGAAATCCATTTCCTTCTTTGCAGGAAATGCAAATTTTTGATTTAGTCATTCTTGCATTTTTCCCCCGTTTTCTCGCTGGGGTTATTCTGGCGTCTTTGAAAGGAAGTCTTTCTAAGACGACAACTAAGAAAAAACATTTGTTTGTTAGGGAATAGGCTCCCCCCCCCCACTACTTACACAAACAGGAAAACTATATTCCCATCAATATAGACTGGCAAGGTTACTCGATGCTATTAAAATATCTGCATCACCACTTGAAAACATGAAGAAGACATTCAGCCGGGTACAGTCAGTTAACCACAGTTTTGTTTTCGTTACAATATTGTGATGCTATGGTCAACAATCTGTCGTACGAGATCACTTGTAGTTTTGTGCCAAAACTAGGTTCCGCTTAGTAAATGACAAGCATCGTTTTGTTTTCCTATACAAAGTTCTTGCCGTGCTAAGAAATCATGCAGTGGGGTAGCACCTTTCTGAGGTGTCCTTCTGTGGTGTCCTTGACTGGTCTCCATTCATGCAACATTAGGGATGCGTTAAATATGCAAATTTTGTAATTGGCTCTCCATTCTGACGATCATTCGTGCGTGATAAAAACCCACGCTTTCTCGAGGTGGCACCGTTAATATTGCATGGACAATAGACTAACTACAAAGATAAAGGAGAGATTTGTAAATGCTGCTTGGGTTTATGCGTTGAGGTTTTCAAATGCGTGTTCTAAGAGCATTTATCCATTATACATTTAACGATTCAAGAAAAAAACAACGAGACTCCAATTGTGCATCAACAATAAAATATATATTGAAACAATAACATACAAAACGATCATGCAATGGTGTGTAGTAATTAAGGGAGAAAAAAAACTGTTTCCCTTTAACTGTATTCTGATTAAGATTGAATGTTCAAAATTTCTTGAATAAAGAAATGTTCAGTATTCCCTATGTTGAATAGAGTCTGGTGTTAGAAATAGAATACAGCTAATCAAGAAGTGTATGTTGTTTTTAGTAAGTAAGAGAGTTATCGTTCGCGAACTTGCATGTCTGAGGAAGAAGAATGTGTAATGTGATAAGCAAAAATCTGTGTCTGTGTGTACGTTGTGAGTAAAGTCGTGGATTTGTGTAGACAGACGTAATAGCTGGACTCTACTGACGATTTGCGAGAAAGTCGGTAAGAGTTGTTGGCAATGATCTTTAACGTCTGACCGCACGGTTAAGACGGGAGCTCTTGGAGATTACACCTTGGCAGCAAGGAAAAAGATGAATAAAGAGAAACAAGAGAGAGCTTATTGGTGTTTTGTTTATATAAGGCTGTCACACGTGACAGGATCCGAAGCTTCTATGCGGGAAAATTATTCCTCGCTTGCCGGCGATTTGATTGGTCAGAATTGACCAATCAGCAAGCTAGTTTTGAAGAGATTAGCCATTGGATGTTTGCCGTATGATCTGTATGTATGTATGTATGTATGTGTGATGGTGATGATGATCACTACAGACTAACCTGAATAAATAAATCATGTAAATTCTTCTGGATACGCCGTAGTTCCTGTGGTATGATGAACACTGTAGCTTTGCAAATGATTATTTTTTTCAACAATGGACAGACACCATCTATAACAGACTGACAATCACATGGTATCAGATGGAGTTGCCACCATCGCTTATCTTAGTCAGAGAGAGAGAGAGAGAGAGAGAGAGAGAGAGAGAGAGAGAGAGAGTGTGTGTGTTCTTGTAACGTACAAGGATCTACTCAGATGTTCGGAAAAAATGAACCAGTCGTGCAAACCGAATGTACATTCGCTGCTCCACATGAACAATAACATGCGTGTTCCTTCCAAATTACGACTTCAAAGTAAATAGAAAATAAAGGTTTAGCTAAATGTTTTCATCGTAATATTTCCCTGCATTTTTAGTTACCATATCGCATATTAGTGGAATTCGATTCTCAGCACTGCTAGTTTTGTTTGATTTTAGAGTTTTACGTTTAATTTTTCTATTGTGTCTATGAAAATTTTAATAGGTGCTGGTCAACACAAAATAAGTATCAATTGAAGGACATATCCACAACACATAAAATTCTGATCTCAAAATATCGGGACCGTTGCTATCGTAACGGAGCTCAAGTGCACATAGTGATTCCGCTTGGCACAGATTGACCTTGACAACTGTCGCGCATGCACACTAAATTATAACATTCTTTTTCACTTCCGTTGCTTACATCAGTGTTTGGAAGAAAGTGTGTAGAGTGTTATTATATATATATATATATATATATATATATATATATATATATATTTATTTATTTATGTATGTATATAATATAATATATTTTCTGTTTGTAAGTAATTTTAATAGGCATAATTTATTTAAGAAAATGCTCTATTGTTAATTGAATAGTATTAATTACATTACTGGCGTGAATGTTTAATTAATAATGTTTAATTAAAAAACAGAGTATTTACTTAAATAAACTGTATCTATTAACATAGCGTATAAACAGAAAATATATTAAATAATTTGGACTTAATCCATTTCATTATATATATATATATATATATATATATATATATATATAAAATATATATATATATATATGTCAGATTTATAATCCAGAGTTTTTTAGCATTTATTTTTATTAAAAAAAAAACAGTGCTCGATACAAAGTAGAGCATAATATTATTATTTAAAAAATATATATATATATATATATATATATATATATATAATTACTTATTTAGTAATGCCCTATCTTGAGTGGGGCTTGGCATTGGGTGAAAGTTCTTAAAAATGGATCCCTTCAACTCTTATGTGCTAGCCATTTCATCTGTTATCTGTTTCTGCAGTTGAATATCTTCAACTGTTGTAGTAAATTTCTTTGTGATGTTGTAGCACCAGTCTATAAGGTCTGATGATGGGTAGTCTTCTTCAAGACACAGGTTTCATTCTCTTGAAACCATTACTATTATTGATTTGAGAAAAAGGTTGTATACACACACATACATACATAATATATATATATACATATATATGTATATATATTGGCAAAAACGCTCATATATATATATATATATATGCACGGATAAATGAATCTATAATTTAAGAGTGACAGTAGAAAAAGGCTGCCTCTGAAGTTCTGTGGATAAGCCTTTTAACTCTTCCACATGTTTTGTTTTCATCTTTGTTGCATTTACAATATGAAAGCAATTTTTCAAACGAAAATATATCCGGTTTGATAGCGTGTACATTATTTTTTTTTCTGAGAATTTTCCTCGAAATTTCTTGTCAAATTGTACAGAGATTTTGATGAGCAAATTCACTTTTATACTAGTTTAGTGTTTTTTTTTTCTTCTTTCTCGGTCGTTCCCCCATTCTATTTTGGTGTGAACGGGGAAGATAGGTAGCGGCCTAGTAAGAAGAAAAATAAAACCAATTAAAGGATGAATGACATGCAAGTGGTAATTAGAGTTGATGTCGCCATTAAAATGACCTTGGAGAAGGCGAAATCGTGACAGTTCACAAACTCGAAAGTAACAGATAAATGACGTGAAAAGAGTTGGCTCCCTTAGACCTGACTTTACACGCGTTAAGGGGCTAACATGACAATCACCGACCATCTGCGACAAATATAAGATCACAATCGGTATACGGAAACTTAAACATAGTACCAATGTGGAATGTGAGGGCAAATGTGAGTGTATATATAAACAAGGTTGACAAACCTATAGGCATAAAAGATCCAAACCCGGGGCCTTCTCAATCCTGTTGGAGGAAACCATCTCTGGTTGACCAGGTCTTCGTGGGTGTAGCCGTACTCACCACGCTCAGCTAATTGCGGGAAGATCAGGCTATTTAACCTACAGTTGGCGGGGATGGCTGACGAGTTATCGGCCCTTTAACAGCCTTTAAGTTTTGTGATGCTGAGGTTCCACTTACTCTCCTGACCAGAACAGAATGTGGTGGGGGAGCCGGTTTAGTCGCCGATGATTCAGGCTTTAAATTCAGGAATGTCCTCAGAATCTAGTTTGTTCTGCCATTCAACCCATAGGGGAGAAGACATAGATACATACCTTTCACAAAGGTATTGTTACGTAAGTGACAGTAATGAACCCAAGGCTATAGAACCCAGTCTGTCCTAGTATTTACCCATGGCTGGTAGAAGTGTTGGATTTATATCTTTCCCAGTGGTATTAACACGTAAGTGACGGTAACGTACCCAAGGCTATAGAATCCAGTCTGTCCTAGTATTTTGTACCTGGTCAGGTAGTATTTACCCCAGTGGTGACAACACAGTGACGGTAACGTACCCAAGGCTATTAACCCAGTCTGTCCCAGACTGGTAGGTATAATATCTTTCCAGTAAACGTAAATGTAACGAAATCGACTGGAATTCGAACCCGGCTCTTCGATTACTCACTCCGAGCCACTGTACATTACTCCACTGTGCAACCACTGCATAATATTAACTGTTAATCACTGGAGAAGAGATGGATTCATACCTTTCCCAAGGGTAGCTGCACATAAGTTAATGTAACGGATTCCCTTGGAATTCGAACTCGGCTCACCGATTTCCCAGTCCGAGCCAAGCCACTATCGTGCCTCTTTAAAATATTGGCGAACACATATACGCAGAAGGAGAAAAAAAATGAAGAAGAAGAAGAAAACAAGTAGAGTTGCGATGATAAGAAGTAAAGAAAAGGAAAAATTGTTATTTGGAGTACAAGCAACTATTAGAGAGATTTATTTTAGTGAAACTACAATGGAAACCTCTCTGTAGAGCATTCTGAGGTTGACGTTAGAAAAGCAATGAAAATAAGTTCTACAAAGATCGAGAAGTTGGCAAATATCATAGCAAGTGACAAGAAACTATCACGAGGAAACCAAATGCAAAAATAGGAAAGTAAGAATTTAGTGAAATGTTTGTTAAGTATAGACTTGCATCAGGTAAACGACGCAGAAGAAGAGAAAATCGGTTTCATTGGTGCAAAGCGAATGGCTAACCAATAATTGTTTTGAAGAATACCATAACGCTTGTGGATATGAACAGGCCTGACAGGAGAGATTAAAATCCAGAGAGACTACTTCAATATGAGCGAACGATTTAGAAATACAATTTCGCTCTCTAAGACATACCCAAGTGCCGTCTGTGAGAGTCGGCTCCACCAATTCACAATTAAACTAAGGGTAAGGCTGCAAAGACTAAAGAAGCCCAGTGTATTGCCGAAACTGCAGCACGAGGAATTTCCACAGCGATTCGATTTGCGAAGCAGATCCAGTTACGAATAAATATGAAAGTTTGGAGAAGGTCAGGGACCCAATGTGTTTTACCTTAAGGGGAGGACTATTAATAAGCAGCCAAAGTAGTCGCCCCGAGAAAAGAAATGGACGACAGGGGAATTTCAAAACTTAATCAACTGGTAAAGAGAAGACTAACCGTTTCCTTATAAGGAAATATTCGACATTCATTGACAAAACAGTTAACGTAACTTCCAGTTGGAAGTTGTAAAATCTTTCTTTCGAAACAGATTTCAGGGAACTAGCTTTATCAAACCCACTAATTGTTATCGCTCTTTCTACTATGGATGGGAATGTCCTTCCTAAACGTTTGTTTAAGTTAGTGTGAGAGTCAGCATTTTAGTGAAACTTATATACGATCCATCGCTGAAAGATAATGGAAAAATGGTCAGGTCTTATACTGCATCAATCAAACCAAAATGGAGTAGTGTTGCCATGTTTGGGGTGGAGCTTCCCAGATCTCACTATCGAGTTTTCAAAACTTTCTCACAACCGAAATTCCCCTCGCTACTTTATCGCTATTTCCGTGGCAAATTTTCTGGCAATCAACATCCATTAGCTTCACCTGACCTGACCTTTGCAAATAAGAATCGGCATACCAAGAATCTTCTTGGCTTGGCTTCGCGAACGAAGATTTTTGAAGTGAGCTGTCCACGTCGACTGCAGGCACTCGGATGGCCGACTGGGCCGATGCAGGCAGGCAAGTCCAGTCGCAGCGACTGCAGTTAGAGGTCTGGTCTGGTATAACTGCTGAGGCTTCTCGGTCCTTCCTTCGCGGCATTTCCCCCTTCAGCTTGGCCCTGCAAGAGTCCTCAAAGATGAAGACGACCTGGTAGACGGTGCGAAGCCAGGCTTGACGGTCAGCAGCAAGTGTCGACCACTGGCGATAGTCAATGCGGCAGGTACTGATGTGCTTCATGAGGGAGTCCTTATAACGGATCCTTGGTGCCCCTCTGTCACGGTGGCCAGTGGAGAGTACGCCATACATAAGCAAGCAAAAGAAGGGCTCAATTAAAACTGTACAGAGACCCCAAAATATAAGTAATACATTACTTATATCCAAAAGGACGGGGTTCATAAAATCTGAAGAGAAAACTATCCTAATGGAAAGAATTCACAATTCTTTCGAAACAGTTGAGAAAAAAATCAACTGGGAATAAATGTGTATGGTCAAGCCAGAATTGATATTGAGTATCGATATCACACCAGAGAATCAAGGGAAATAGGCACACGAATGCTGAAAAACGTGACTTCACAGCTGAACCTAGTTTTGTAAGTATGCGAATGGACGGATTTGAGAAGAGCCTCTCAGATATCGCAGACGAGAATATAATGTCCACGTTCAGATGAAGGTTTCAGAAAGCTGCACCACATACTGGACACTGGAAATAAACGAAGCATCTGAGGGAGATAAAACGTAATGTTAAATACGAGAGATTTAGTCTCGTGTTAATCCGTGCGATTTTACATACTGCTTCATTACATAAGGACACGTAATAGGTTAAGTAAACACAGGCCAAGAGGAAGGGAAACAAAGCAGCTGTAAAGGACTCGATTTTAATAGAAAAATATTAACAGTATTACATGAGATTGGGATTTGTAATTTTTTAAACTCACGTCACTACAGCATGCGGGTGAGAATGGCTATCAACATTTTTTGTATTACCAGTGAATATCCGGCATTCTTGGGAAAGATAGCTCCTTTGCCTCCCATACGGTTTTTTTTTGCTTAGACCGATTTCCATCCAATCCCAATCTGCCCTGCTATTTAAACCAAAGCTAGGTGGGGGTCCATATCAAAGTGTCGGAGTTGTGACTTTCTCAAGGGAATATTTGTGATTCTGCTGTGATCCTTTACACTACATGCATATTAATAAGATTACCGAAGAGATAAACGAAATATACAACAGAGGTGAAATACCGGAAAAACCTCAGTAGAGCTACCAAAAGAAAACAGGCTAGATCAAATGCAGAATTCAGAAAACATGTTCTATCAAATATGAAATCAAGAAATCAGAAAAAGGCGATCAGCGAACAATTTTAGCCAGTGTCGCCTCAGCCTACATAGCCAATAATAAGACATGCCATACTAACACAGATAGCACTTGTAACTGAAAAAATAATTGCATATCAAGATGTTGACGTTTCACACTACATCAAACAGAAGACAAGGAAAAAAAATCCATCAATAGTGGAAAGCACAATAAATTTTAGTGGACTTCAGGAAATTATTTTTAGGAAAATGTGTTTCTCAAGTCCATTCATTTTTAAAGCTCTGCATATGAACTGAAATTACTTTGAATAACAAAAGACAAGAAATAGTGGAGAGCCATGTTTGCCAGTTTCTGAAAGATATTTAGCAAGAAAGAGATTTATTTTGGTGCGTTTTACTTTTTTTATACTTAATAAGAAATAGAAATCAGTAATCAGTCGAACTATTTCTAAACTCAGTGCCAATCAAAATATCGGATGAAAATTGACGGATTTTTTTTTTTTTTACTTTAGACGTGTGCAAAAGTTTCCAGCGTGTTTTTTAAAATAAAACATTTTTTTTTATTGTACGTTCAGTTTCTTGTTTTCCAAACGAAGAGGATGTTAGTAATTTTTGAATGCGCATCTAATAGTTTTACCTTGGGGAGTGGGCAACGTCGACAATCCGTTTTTTTTTTTTTTTTTTTTAAAAACTCTGTAGGCTGTTTTTAAAGATTACTATACAATTAACAAACAGATAATTTTGTTATATTGATAAAGGCTCGTGTAGTACCATGGGGAACTATGTTTTTTTCTTTTTTAAAGTTCGGTAGGCTGTTTTTAAAGACAAATATACAACTACCCACACAGATGATTTGATTATAGTGATGAAGGCTGGTGTAAAACCATGAAGAACTTCAACACATCGATTTTTAAAAAACTCTGTAGTCCGATTTCAAAGACCAATATACAACTACCCACATAGATGATTTGATTATAGTGATGAAGGCTGGTGTAAAACCATGAAGAACTTCAACACTTCGTTTTTTTAAAAATCTGTAGTCCGATTTCAAAGACCAATATACAACTACCCGCACAGATGATTTGATTATAGTGATGAAGGCTGGTGTAGAACCATGAAGAACTTCAACACATCGATTTTTTAAAAATCTGTAGTCCGATTTCAAAGACCAATATACAACTACCCGCACAGATGATTTGATTATAGTGATGAAAGCTGGTGTAGAACCATGAAGAACTTCAACACATCGATTTTTAAAAAACTCTGTAGTCCGATTTCAAAGACCAATATGCAACTACCCACATAGATGATTTGATTATAGCGATGAAGGCTGGTGTAGAACCATGAAGTACTTCAACACTTCGTTTTTTTAAAAACTCTGTAGTCCGATTTGAAAGACCAATTTACAACGAGATTGATTTGAAGTGTTGACCAAGCCATGAACTAACCAACACAAAAAACGCTGTAGTCCGATTTGATTACAGTGTTGAAGGCTAGTGTACAGCCATGAAGAAATTCAACATTTCTTTTTTTTAAAAACGCTGTAGTCCGATTTTAAAGACCAATATACAACTAACCACACAGATGATTTGATTATAGTGATGAAGGCTCGTGTAGAACCATGAAGAACTTCAACACTTCGTTTTTTTAAAACTCTGTAGTCTGATTTTAAAGACCAATATACAACTAACCACACAGATGATTTGATAATAGTGATGAAGGCTCGCATAGAGCCAGTCACACATCGGAAGAACTGATAACAGAGACATTGTCCATTGCGACACGAAGTCTCTAAAAAGCTTTCTTGGGGGTTGAGCTCAGAATTTACCTTCTCTTAAATTTACTGCGAAACGAAGCAACAGAATTATACAGCAGACACCTTACACAGGTCAAATAATTTATAAGAGGCAACAGGATAACAGCAACAAAGATATTTTTCCAATAAAGTAATGCACATTAATTTAATCAAAGTAGCGGCTTTAAATTCTCATTTTAAGCTTTCACCCAGATTCAAGGTCTCTGATTAATTTCATAATTTTGTTACAATTTCAAAACGAACACTTTATACAATACACGAGTCAGATTGTTCACATTCCGCTCTCCACCTGTTATATTCTAGTAACCCCCTTTGCAGGCCAAGCGTAGAAATGAGCACTTTATTGGAATTTGATTAGAGGGGAATTGATTTGAGATTTAAGGCAACGAAAATAGAGCAACTCATTTTTATAACCAACAGATTTGTTGTCATTCTACTGTGGATGCTCATGGATATCTTGCATCAATTGATTCTTCTTCCTTCGACCTTGTGATGCCGCGCTTCGCTTTCTCCGCCGGATCAGCGCAATGTGAATAACCACTTCTGTGGATTAAATGAAACTTGCGATTCGAAATTCCTGAATACAACAAAAACCGGCCAAAATCTCCTCACTATAACAACCAAGACAAGAACATTAATCCGAATAGTTTATTTTCTCATCTCAGACAGAAATAAAACAAATAATAAACCAAATAAATATACTCTGTTCTTTATTTTGTCACTATCAGACCTATCCAGATGTTTGTTTCGTAACCAAAATAACCTAACTTAATATAGACGGACAACTGTCACTTATAATTAGGGATATAGCTGTGATGAACAAAAAAGCCGATGTTGTTTCCGTAGAAAAGATTTTCTAAATTCATTTTTTCTAGGTTTTAATGTTTCATTTCTTTATGTTATTTTGCTCTGTTGCCGTTTTCGATCGACACGTAACTGATACTTATTCATTTATTTTTGTTTCCCATGATTAGAGAATTCGGTTTCTCTTTTTAGATATCTTTTGCGCAGCCATTTTGATTGATTATTAGGCGCGGCTATCGTTTATCAGACACCCTGAGGAAATAAATGGTGATGTCTTTCCCGTTAGATGAATAGATGTTTCGATTCATAGGTAAGATTATTTTTTTTATTTAACCAAAAGAGATGAATTATTGTTAGCTTAATTAATGTATTCTTACACGAAACACATGAATTTCCTTTTGGACGGAGGTGATTAGCGTAAAGAAGAAGACAAAAAGTTACTTAGTGGGCGATAATTCGTTACTGATTTTTCTAACCGTATCCGGTAAACGATAATCGAGATTATTATTGATAATTTATTTCGTAGTTTTATTATATAATATTAGTGATAATCATTAGTATTATTTACTTAGCTTACCTTACATCGACACTGGGCTAAAATTAATGCGTATTCAGAGAAGTTGAAGTTCATTAAAAAGTTTTAACAATCGGCAATTTCCTATGCATTACACAATGACAGTCAGGAAAGCGAATGTAAATTTCCTCAATAAGAAGAGAATCGAAGACTATTGTTTTATATGGACCGAGCGTGTGAGCAATGACCTCATCAAGTCCGTCTTTAAAAGAAAGGGAGATAGCAGACAGAAGAATGTTGAACGATTTCCTGATCGTCTAAAGATGAAAAAAGAAAAATGAGAAAAGGGATGAGACTGAATGGCCTGACAGAGATGTGGTTGTACAGAAGGATGGACTAAGGATATTGACCGAGGTGGAGAGCAATGATCGCAAAGGACATGATAAAAAGAAAGATGAGACTGATGGCCGACTCGGAAGGTCGATGATTGAATGTGGTTTGTGGGAAACAGAGGGACTTGTTGAGCTGCAAGGACGTTATGAAAAGGAGGGGAGAGCCATGATCGCCTACGTCCTGAAATAGACAGAAAGAAAAAAAAAGATGAGACTGATGGCCGACTGAGAGGTGGATGGTTGAATGTGGTTTGGGGATATCAGAATGAACTTGTTGAGGCAAGGAGAGGTGGAAATGATATGTCCTGAAAGGACATCCTGAAAGGACATGGCTGACTCGGGAGGGGGGATGATAGAATGTGGTTTGTCGGAGAAAGAAAAAAATGAGACTGATCGCCTACGTCCTGAAAAAGAAAAGAAAAGAAAAAGATGAGACTGATGGCCGACTCAGGAAGGTGATGATAGAATGGGTTTATGGGAGATAGCAGAGGGGAAGGAACTTGTTGAGAGCTGCAAGGATAGAAGGAGGTGGAAAGCCATGATCGCCTACGTCCTGAAAGGACATGGCACATAAAAAGAAAAGAAAAAGATGAGACTGATGGCCGACTCAGGAAGGTCAATGATAGAATGTGGTTTGTGGGAGATAGCAGAGGAAGGAACTTGTTGAGAGCTGCAAGGGATAGAAGGAGGGTAAAAAAAAGAGAGATGAGACCATGATCGTGATACGTCCTGAAAGGACATGGCACACATAAAAAAAGAAAAAAAAATGAGACTGATGGCCGACTCGGAGGGGATGATAGAATGTGGTTTGTCGGAGATAGCAGAGGAAAGGGACTTGTTGAGAGCTGCAAGGATTGAAGGAGGTGGAAAGCCATGATCGCCTTGTGGGACGTCCTGAAAGGACATGGCACATAAAAAGAAAGAAAAAAGATGAGACTGATGGCCGACTCAGGAAGGTCATGATGATAGAATGTGGTTTGTGTTAGGAGAAGGGATAGAAGGAGGAAAGGGACGTTGAGAGCTGCAAGGACATGGCATGAAGGAGGTGGAGAGATAGAATGTGGTTTGTATGGGAGGACGCCTACGTCCTGAAAGGACATAGGTGGAGCATCACGTCCTGAAAAAAAAAGAAAGAAAAAGATGAGACTGATGGCCGACTCGGGAAGGTGGATGAGACTGATGGTTGAATGGTTTGGATGATAGGAGAATGTGGTTTGTAGGATTGTTGTTGAGCTGCAAGGGAGGGTCCTGAAGGAAACTTGTTGATGGCATTCATAGGAGAATGATAGAAGGAGGATAGAAGGAGGTGGAGAAATGTTTATGAATCGCCTACGTCCGAGAGGAAGAACTTGACTGCAAGGAATAGAAAGGATTTGGTACATAAAAATCGAAAGAAAACAACGACTGCAAGGGATAGTGAAAGACATGGCACATGGCTTATATATATATATTATAATTGGTGTAGCGACTCAGGATGGATGAACTTTGTAATCTAAATTAAAAAATGATAGCAGAGGGAAAGGACTTGTTGAGAGCTGCAAGGGATAGAAGGAGGTGGAGCCATTTTCGTCTACGTCCTCTAAATCAAATTAAAAACATAAAAAAGATCTAGAAAAAGATGAGACTGATGGCCGACTCGTGAAGGAAGGTCGATTCTTTCAGAAGAAATGGTTTTGAAAAATATAGCAATAGGGAAGATCTATTGTTGAGAGCTTCTATGGATATTTTAGGTCGTGAGAGCTTGATCGTTAACGTTTTGAAAGGACATGGCACATAAAAAAGAAAGAAAAAAAGATTTGACTCGATGGATGATAAAATGGGTTTTAAGGGGAAACGAACTGTTTACATTGAGATAAGGAGAGGAAAGGGACGTATTGAAATAAAAAAAAACAATTATTTTATGGGAAGATTAATTTTTTTGTCGGTACCAGACGATCCTTTCTGCAAGGGATATGGAGGTGGAGAATATCCTGAAAAGGCACAAAAAAAAGAAAAAGATGAGACTGATGGCCGACTCGGGAAGGTGGATATTTGAATGTGGTTTGTTTTCAATTGGACAATCTTTGAAAGGACGTTGAGAACCGTGGATGATTTTCTTTGATAGCAGATTGATTGAGGTACATCAGTTTTTTTTTTAAATTATGTCCTGAAATAACATGGCAAGAAATTTATTGTAGAAAGATTAGGTGAGACTTATGGCCATGACTCTACGTCCTGAAAGGACATATCACATAAAGAAAGAAAAAAAAGATATATGGCCGACTCGGAAAATGATAAATTGGAGACCAAGGGACATAAGATTGAAAAAGCTGTTGGCATTTTCTGCAAGGGATTCAAGGAGGTGGATTGCCATGATCGATACGTCTTCCTGAAAGAAAAGCGAGATTCACATGAAAACAAACATTAATGACAACTGCATATATTCTGAGGTTAACCTTTTCTTTTCTGTTAGAGTTAAAAAATATTAGAAAGGAAGATTTGATTGGTTTCAGCTGATCACGTCTTTACCTAAATGTTACTGAAAATGAGACTTGGCAAAGGTGTTTGTTCCCATTTACACAGGAAAATATTAGTCAAGGTAGTTTTTCGAGTCCCAAATGAACAGGCTAGATCCCCAATGGGGGGTGATAGGCCGACTTAAGATAAAATGTACACGTCGACGCGTTAATTGAAAATAGATAAATCTTTCCTAAAAGGTTTGAAAATGGTTATTGATGCATCCATAAATAGAAGTAGCAATTCCAACAAAAAAAGATGGATACAGAGAGAAGAATGGTTTGAGTCAATTACTTCCTTACCTAAATGAATTTAGAAAGGAATGGTTTGTGGGATGATTTTCTGACCTGCAGTATTGATACACAGATGTCCTCAAAAAAGACACATGGCCGACTGAATAAAAGCGTTAGAAGGAAAGTTGACGTTAAAACAGTTGTCATCATAAAAAAGAAAGAAAAAGGCTAGCGATAGAATGGTGGAGAATTTTTGATGGGAGCCAATGGTTGTTTTCGATTAACAAAAGGATAGAGTGATTGAAAATGGCACAATAAAAAGGAAATTGTTGATGTCTCACAGTCTACTGACCAGTGAGCGAAATAAAGAGACTATGTCAGTTCGACATTCAACCACCTGACGTCCTCACCTATGGAGCGACGAACGCCGAAACGTTGATAAACATTTTACGACAAAGATGTTGAAAATAGTCCGAATAAATGATAAAACAAATTCTCAGACCTTTTTGGGGGGTATTTTATGCCAAAAATAATGGAAATAAAGAAGACCTTTTCAAAGGACATAAAAAAACAAAGAAAAATAAAAGAAGAAAACAGTATTGATTAATTAAAAGATTATGGCCCTTCTAATCTCCCTTTCGAAAAATTGTTCTTTTAATAAATTTTCGTCTTACATTTTAGTTTGTTCTCCCAAACCCTGATCTAAATCCATTTACGTTAAGTCTAGATATTTTGATGCGTTTTTTTCCTAAATTTCTTTGTCCCTCATTCTCATAATCTCCCCTAACGTATGATATTCCAAGACGTCCAAAATAATCATTACATTGACCCGAAATTTACTGATTTGTTTTTTTGAAAAGATTATCAATATCTTGTGGGTTTTTTGTCTTTTTTTTTCTTAAAACCTTGTTATTTTTCAAATTACAAATCTTCAATTTAAACCATAGCATCTTTTCTGAAATAATGGTCCACTTTCTGTTCTATTTACATGCTGAGGATACTACCAACGAATATCTTAGAATTTATTTTCTCAGAAAATAGAAACCTTTGAGCACATTAATATCAGGAAGAAGATCATAATCATTTCTGAGACACATAATGAGGAAAGAGGACGTGGAAAATCTGATACCCTCATCCCTTCAATCTTTCCTGTGAGTAATTGTTAAAGTAAGTTATTGGCAGAAATTTGATCGTTTCTGTTCGATATTTTCATTTCAAATTTTCTAAATTGGATAAACCAATTTTCAAGTATATGTAATTATTAATAAATTACTAAAAATAGATAAATAAATTAAAAATGAAGGAAGATTTAGGAACAAAACCTTATTTATGAGGATAAAATTAAAAAAAAATTTCAGGAATATAGTAATTAGCGATGGACATTGCATTTAAATTTTTGAAGATTAAAATTACCTGGAAAGCATAGAGCCGTAAAAGAGTCCCACAAGAGAGAAGAGCGAGAAAAGAAACAGTCAGCATAGAATTTACGGCTCCATCTAGCGAACTCATCTGTAAATTGATGAGATCTCAACGCTGAATTTTTGTTAAATTGACAATGGTTAAATACCATAAACGAAAGCTCATCCGAACAATTACCATGAAATTATTTCTAAAAAAATTGCACAGAGGTGCAACCTTACGGCGGTAGGCAGATACTGAAGCCGAGCCGCCAGGTCAGGACCTATAATATTACTGATTCTTCTTTGGATTTTATCATTGAGATCCAGGTAAATAACAGGAGAACCGGACCATGCATGGCAGCAATATAATGAGCATGGACGAATGGTAGACATATACAGTGCAGTTCGATAAAAGTGACTCACCTTATCCTTTGAATTTAGCTCAACTTTCGTTTCATCGAGAAGAGAACATTCTTCCAGTCTTCTACGGTAGAAATTTTGTAATAGTGATCCCATTCAAGTCTCTTAGCTTTGTTGGCTTTGCTTATTATCGGCTAAAACCTTCGTGTACAAGATTTGTAGCCTTGTTCTGATTTGAACCTTGTTCTGACGGATTGTTGAAGAGGCAAGACTAACACCTTGCTCTTCGCTTAGATGGCTGCAATTTTTTTGGCTATTAATAGTCCTATTCTTCGGAACTTCTCTCTGATTACCCCTGCCAGTTCTATCATCAATCTTTTCCTTTTCATCCCTTTGTTTCCTTCCTTGGAGCAGGATTGGCATCATTATGTGCCCTTAAGGACAATTGATTGACAATTTCTGCAATTTCTCTCGTAGAATTGCCTGCTTTTGAGAGGGCAATAATAGATGCATTAATGGCCCTGATGCGTGTTTGTACCCTTTCATCTGGTTGATGACTTGGTGGCTATTTCAAACTGCTTTTTTTTATTGTATGAGGCTTTCTGGAATATTCTGAATACTCTAGATTTAATTTATGCTGTTCTTGAATTCTCTAGAATATTGTTCTGGGTGTATTGTAAAATAGTTTTCAATATTTTTCCAGTTTAATCATTAGAATGCGATAACTGAGTTTTTTTCCTGAATCTCATTTATATCTAAATTTATAATTATCAATAGAATACCTTAGGGTGAATAAACTTTTTTCCTAGGTGGTCGGGAAGGGGTCTTTATATTAGTAAGATTAAAAATTATTTTAACCCTAAAAACAATAGACACAAAATATTTTTAGTAAAATAAAAGTCAGGTGAGTCACTTTTATAGAACAGTACTGTATATGCAAGATAGATTCCGGAGAGAAAAATTGTCTCACACGATAAAGTGAATCGACTTTCTTAGTAGCTGACCAAGCAATGGATTAAATAAAGTCTTTCTACTTCATGTCTGTTTAGACCGTTTGAATTTGTTTTTATTAATTTTATTTAATATTAATAATTCATTATTAGGCAAAAACTAAGATCTGGAATTACAAAAATTGAGAAAAAAATAAATGATTTAAATATGTGAAATCCAGTTTATTCCATTTTAAATACTTTGTTCGGGTAAGTCATAAATTAGTCATTTATTACGGTGAAGAAAATAAATTTTGGAATAATTTTGCTCTTCCCCAAATTAATTTTAAAGATTCCCGAAGGTAGTTATTGAAGGTTATTGTTACTCCAGGCATTGCTTTGTAATTCTTGCTATCTGATCATTTGTTATTTACTACTTACATTTGTATAGGTTGCAAATTAAACTAAACACACCTGATATTAAGGGATGAAAAATTTTCACATTTTTAACGCCATTCTGTTTTTTTTTTCTCATTTAAATCTGTGAATTGGTTTTGCTCATGTTAAGTCTCGAAAAAAACACTATATAAAATCACCTATTTTTTTCTATAAAGTTGAATGCGATAAAATTATTCAACTTTTTAACGAGAACAATCTCGAGTTGATGTTAAAAATTGCCGCAAACCATTGCTGATTTATTTAAGATGGAATGATTTATGATGACATGTCTCTAATTTGTATTTAGATATTTTGTATTTATGTATTGTTTTTCTAGTTGAATTTGTGGTGGACTTTACCACATTAATTTAACTTTAAATAAGGAAACAGGGCTGACGCAGAAAAGGATAACCAAAAGACATTGTTACACATAAAATTTGTACAATATCAAACAACGATGTGAAAGAAAGCACATAATTAAGTAAGAAAAGGTTGAATAAACCAAGAGTTGTCTTTCTTTATCTGTTATTTTAGTATTCCAAGTTCACTGGAAGAATGTTCATGAGAGTCCCTTGTAATGATTGTTCTTGAAAGATTTTCTGTGTAAGAAAAGATTACGTGAGTGTATAGAAGGTATGTTCAGCATGTGAGTGTATACAAGATATGTACAGCATGTGAGTGGTGTCTGTGAGTGAGAAAGTTGGTGCATGGTTTCAAATGTCGTGGATTCGTTTGGCAGCTGAAATCTCACTAAAAAGAGTTAGAAAATTCTTGCTTACGTAAGTGACTGTAGGCTCCAGATCGCTGCACGGGAAGAATTATTCTTTACGTGCAGACGATATGATTGGTTGGCATCGACCAATCAGCGAGCGAGCTTTGGGGAGACTTAAGAAAAAGCTTCTGTATTCCGTTTCTCCCAAAAGTGCACAAAACTGATTACATAAAAATAGAACAATTACAAAATTGTCGCATTGCTGCGATTTGTAAATTGCCTATAAGGTAGTGGTGATTAATTAACCAATGAATGCTTGGCATTGTATGTGATTTGTATTTTTGTATGTATTTATGTGCGTGCGTAATAGATCCGCACAAATTGTTCATCTATATTGCATATTATCGATTACTGTACATAATTATGTCAGAATAAAATTTGTATTTTATATGAATACTATTTTATGAAAATTGAGATATAGTAGAATGGGGATCCCACGAAAGCCTTATATATATATATATATATATATATACGATACAGCTTTAACCTTCTCGGTCTTTAACGTATGCCTATGTATAATGATGACCCGGGCATTCACTTTGCTGAGAAAAAGAAACTCATAAAAAAAAGAGATAAATCTATGCCGAACATGTGCGAACGAGGTATATATTTTATATCGTAAGGCGCCTTTTAAATTTTTCTTTTTTCGTTTTTATTTTTTGATGGAACATGAATGTTCTCGGAGGCAGATTCGGGTGGAAAGTTACAAGAACAGGTAAATAAAC